ACGTTTCCTTGTGTCTCCTTCTTTGTGTGTGTGCTGGGAACACGTAACATGAGATCTACCGTAGGAACACATTTTTCAGTGGACATCACCATACTGTTCACTGCAGGCACCATGTTGGGTAGCAGGTCTCCAGGGTTTATTCATCTTGTACAGCTGTAACTTGACACCCATCGAACAGTAATTCCCCATGTTCTGCCCCCAACCTACAGCTAAGTTTCTTGAAAGACTGCTCTGGATTTCTCGTCTTCTTTATCTCTCATTCAGTCTGCTACATCTAACAATTTCTGTTCCACCCACACTACTCTACTAAAACTACTGAGGTCATTATTAACCTTCTCATTATCAAATCAAACAAGTATGTCTTGGCTCCCCCAAGGTATTTGCCATAAACACTGTTAAGAATGCCTTCCCTCTTGAAATTCTCTTCTCTTTCAACGGTGTCTGTAACAATATCTTCTTTTGAATTTTCTCTTGCCTCAGATTGCTCCTTCAACAGGGATCCTTTCCATGTTCCAGTCCTTTAAATGCTGATGCTTTCTAAGGTTTCTTCTGCATCGATTTCTTATTAATGCCTTAATACTCACTGATACTGGCCAAATCTATTGTTGATAGACCCCAAGTTTCTTCTGAGCCAGAAGACTTAATTTTTAACTACCCACTAGGCATTCCATCTGGATGTCTCACACACAAGTCTTTCTTATTTCCATGTTCTTTCATATCCTGTCTGTGTGTGTGGCATTCCCATCCACCCAACTGCCCATGCCGGAACCACCTCTACTGCCATCTTTCCCACTCTCTGTATCCCAAGGATCTACTGATTCTATCCTCCTGTTCTCTCTAATGTCCCATCCTCTCCATCTCCACTGACTTGGCCTAGCTGGGGACCCTACCACTTCTCACCTGGATGATATTGTGTTTGTTCGTCTCCTTTTCCCAAGCACTTAGACCATACTACGAGCTCAACAACTCTATGTTGGCAGGATGAACACAATGTGACAATTCCTCTCCCCACCTCTGCCACTCAGTGACACACCATTCTTGCTCCAGGGATCATTCTAAAACACACAAGTTAGTCACACCACATCTCCTGTCAAATCCTTCCACTGCCTCCAGGATCAGTTTTGATCCTTTCAGCGGGGCACACAAAGCACTTCTTGCCCTTCTCCTACCTCATCCCCCACCATTCGCTGGTGCACCCTCACTGCAGCCCTGCGAGACATCTCACAACGCCAGTACTCTTTAAGAACCTCCTCCCACCAATCCCTATTTTTTTTAAACATTTTTTATTGATTTATAATCATTTTACAATGTTGTGTCAAATTCCAGTGTAGAGCACAATTTTTCAGTTATAAATGAACACATAAATATTCATTGTCACATTTTTCCTCTGTGAGCTACCATAAGATCTTGTATATATTTCCCTGCTGTACAGTATAATCTTGTTTATCTATTCTACAATTTTGAAATCCCAGTCTATCCCTTCCCACCTCCCGCCCCCTTGGCAACCAGAAGTTTGTATTCTATGT